GATTAGAACCTAAGTAAAGAAATTGGCAGATGTTAATTTAAAGGTTAAAAAGGATTCGATAAGGATTCATACATGCCTTAAACTTTTTTGGAACATGATAAGACTATGTGCTTTGAAATATTTGATATCATTGTTAGAGTGATTGTTAAAAGTTCAAAAAGTGGACAAAATGGCCAAAGTGTCCAAGGGGGTTAATAACCATGGTATTTGTATTTTTGATTATTAGGCGGATTGAAATTATGAAAATTGACCTAAGTGATGTGACCATCAATGGAATTGAAAGGTGATTGGATGAAATTCTAATGAGATGGCTCACGAAGTAATTTTGAGGACGAAATCCTTTTAAGGGCTAGATAATTGTAACATCCTAAAATTTAAGACTATGTTCTTAAATTAATAAAGTAATAAATGAAAATTGATTTATATAAATTAATCATCAAGGATTAATCATATCATTAGTGGTATGAAGTTTGGAAAGCTAGAAGTAAAAATAATAATATCTTAAAAGTTAAAGGGCCAAAAGTGCCAAATTGGCAAAGTGAGTTGACCAAAGGGTTGACTCGGTTAGTGAACAGGACTACCAAAATTATGTAATAGATGGAGGAGTACTTGTTATGTCAATCTTTTAGGCAAATGCAAAAACAAATGGAGTAATGGTACAAATCGACAAAATGCATGAATTAGAGGAACTAAATGTGAAAATATTGGAAATAAGATGAATAATCTCCTCATATCTCTTACAAATTGTTTTCTTCATCCTAGAGGTCCTCTAGTGTTGATTTTAATCTCAAGAGCTCCTAGAGTTTGATTTCGTTGGAGTTTTGTGCATCCAAGCAAAAGGAAGAGGAATCAAAGGCTTTCTAGGTATAATTTATCCTCATCTAACTCTATTTTTGAGTTCATGATTGGGATTGAACCCAATCATGAACTCCCTTGAGTGGTTTTCATGGTTCTAATCTCAATACAATCATCCCATTGATAGATTGATGATTTAGGTAAAAAGATCCATGAACCCTAGAAAGCCCAAATTATGGATATTGCAATTGATGATGAAATGGGATTGGATTTTATGACCAATATGATATTTTATAGAAACAAAAACAATTAGAATGATCAAATTCATCCATGATGGTAGAATCATGTAAATGCTAAAATCGGAATGGAATTGAGTGAAATATGATGAAAAATATGGAATCTTTAGTTTGTGAGCATTTGATAAGTATACGATACTTATAAACATGATTTAATACTTAAAATATGATTTGAATGCAAGAACATAAAGACTTGAATGATTCCTTATTGAATTTATGGAATATTTGGCCATAAGGGTATTTTAGGAAATCTATAGATTACTACATAAATATTGACATCTAATAAGTGAATGACATTCATGAATAAGAATTGAAACTCTAGAGATGATATCGGAACATAAACATGAGGGGATTCTGGTGAAGTTTTATATATAGTGATTGTTTTAGACCAAAGGAAACTTATGAAACATGGAATGGACTCGAGGATTCCATAGTTACATTAGGTACTTACAATGAGATTGATTATGGTTTTATATACTTGAAAACACTTATAGATGGGAATAAGTAATATTGGTTATAGAATGTTCTTGAGCTCTTAACCCTTTCATCTGAGTGTTTGTAAGCATTATGAACTTAGCATTTTGATAAAGTTCTTAATGATTAAGTCATCACGAGAATAGGGGTTAACTGAGTATTTAAGAATTTGATAACCTTTTTTAGTCCTTAATAACCACTTGGTAAAGTTTGGTGGCCATTGGAGGTTTAGGGATTACAAAGTTTTTAGCAAAATTCTATGCAAAATGGTGACCTGCACTTTTGACACGGGGGCATGTCAAATGGTCTGTTAAGTGTATTTTTTTCTTGGAAAACCTAGTAAACGACCTCTGATTGACCTTAAATTATATATGAGGTAATATGAGGTAAATAAGCTTATGGGGTATCTCTAAGTGTTAAAACCCTATGAGGGGTATTAAGAGGTGTATATAAATGGTAAAAACCTACGATGGGTATTTTGGTGGTGGTTGAGAGAGTTACTCTAAGGAAATAAACAAGAACAGGACTAGCTAACATTTGTGTCATTGAGGTGAGTACATGTTGGCATTTTTCCACTTTTTCGTACATGGCAAAATGATTTTATGATAATGAAATGTAATGCTTTGATATATGAAATGTTTTTAAATGAAAGTGTTAAATGTTTTTTTTTTGAAAAGAATGTTTTGAAAGAATGCCTTGAAAGTAAAAATATTTTGAAAGCAAAGAATATTTGAAAGAACAAATGTTTGATATCTGAAATGTGTATTTTCAAAATATATCTTCCTAGTAACCTATGCTATTATAAACGATGATATTAGTATCGATAATGTGGAAAGTGAAAGCTAAAAAGAAAGTAAAAAGGAAAGAAAGTAAAGGAACAATGAAAATCGTCCATGCAATGATACCTCATAAAAGGGACTAAAGGAATCTACTAGGGTGGTACATTTCCCATCATGAAGTAGATGTCCTAATGAAAATGATGCATTGGTAGATTGATTTGTTCTTTCTACCTTGGTCTAGACATGTGAGTGTTTTCTTTATTGGACGTAGACCTTAAGTATAAAAATGACAACAAAACATCAGAATTATCCCTTAATGAAAGAGTGAATGGAGCGTGTAAATAAATGTATTTTGAATTATGTTATGATCAATGAAATGTTTTGATATGGAATGAATTGTGGATATTGTCTATTTGAAATATGTCTTGCAAATATGAAATGTTTTTAATGAAAATGTGATAAATATTTTGGGTCACAAACCCACGTAGCTCACGATACATTTTTGTTTTACATATCTCTTTTAATTTCATGTATCTCATGTTGCATTTAAGAAGAAAAGATGATAGATGAAAGATATAGTTAAGAGATAGAGAATGGAGTGGAACACAATAAGTCCCTTTTTAAACGATATTAATGTAATTCATATTTGATTGTTTTGGTTTGTATGATATTCAATAGTAACACTCAATGTTTTAATCATAAATGTTTTTGTTGGACCGATTTTTGTTAAATGTGAGCTAATACCCGTAATGATTTTGTTTAAACCATAGCATTTTAAAGTTTTAAAAAGTTTGAAACTTTTTGGATGTTACATGAATATTAACATATGATTATTCATATATTTATTGTTGAGTAATGATATAACACAATATATACAAGATGTGTAACAGAATAATAAGATAAAGTAGTGCATTCATGTGTTCATTTTATTTAGTATCTTCATTTGAGCATCTTCTTAACTTTAATATCTCGATATAAAACTAACAACCATTTCTAGATATAAAATTAGACTTAAAAATATTATTTTTGTGTAGCACAATAATAATATTACTAGATATGGTACCCATGCTCCGCACGGACCGTATGGGTCTGATTTGAGTGTATTTTTTGTTTAAAGATTGATAGGTGTCGTTGTTGACTCTTTTAGCTGATTTTGGATTATTTTCATACAGATAAATAGATGGAGACGGATAGAGATAGGGTAGTAAAAAACAAAAAAATAAATAAATATGAGGACCAATATAGAAAAAATATACCAAAAGAAGAAAATGACAGAGCATTGAAAGTGCAATGATGAAAATCTTTAAAAATACTTAAAGGGACCAAAGTTGTCAATTTCTTAAAGTTTTGTGGCCAAACTTTGAATATTAAAAGGTTCCTAAAAAATGTAAAAAATTTGATTGCAATGTCCAAAAGTATCAAAATGGCTAAAGAATGAGGAGCAAAGTTGACAAAATATATGCAAATTTACTATTCCTAACTCTTAACTTCTTTAATATATATATATATATATATATATATATATATATATATATATATATATATATGTGTGTGTGTGTGTGTGTGCGACCCATGTATTACATGAGTTAATTAAAAAAAAAATTAAATATAAATATAAATGTCAAAATATTTGAGAACATTGAATTTATAAGAAAATAAGAAAAATATTGAATTATTATAATAGAAATGTTTTTTATCTTTTAAATTTAAACAAAATACTAATTTAAACAAATAAAAGAAACTAAAAAGTTTTAATTTTGAGAATTTTGAAACTAAAAGGTAAGTTCATTAATGAAATTAATATCCATTTATTACTACATTTATTACAAGTAGTATATTAAAATATTATGTGCAATTTAATAAAATAGAAAAAATCATAAAATGACATGTGGAAAAAAATTAATTAAAATAACAACAATATAATATTTGGCAAATTGAATGAGATTGTGACAAGTGACAAAAAAATATTTATTTATTAAAGAGGATAAAAGGTAAGTTCATTAATAAAATTGATATCAATTTATTACTATATTTATTACAAATATTATATTAAAATATATTATGTGGAATTTGATAAAATAGAAAAACTTATAAAATGATATATGAAAAAAAATTCAAAATAACATTTGACAAATTGAATGAATGTGATAAAAAAAAAAAAAAAAAAAAAAAAAAAAAAACTTTCATTTATTATTCTTATTTGTTTTTTATAATGGCTAAATTACACACTTTAAATCATATTATAACAGAAGATCTCAACCTTCAATCCCCTGAAAAAGATATTTTCAAGACACATACCGTTCGACAAAAACCATTTCGTATTTGTAAATATATTTATTTTCAAAACTTTCGTATCATAGAATAGTATTATGATTATAATTAATTACGTATTTTAAGTTTTATTATTTTGATATTTTTATAAGTCAACCCATTGAAATTTTCAATAACTAATATAATTATCTTTTACTTGCTAATTGGTATTAATTGGGCATTTACTACTGTCACATGTCAAGTAAAGTCTTCATTACTATAATAGCATCCAAAGATTCTAAGATTATAATTGGTATATCTCCTCGTTGGTATCAAATAGGAAAATAATTATCTCAATATAATCTAGTGGTGGTTATTTAAATATGAAATGTTTTTTAAATAGAGTTTATCTATGCTTCAAGTTGATATCGACATAAAGATTGTCTGTTGCTAAAAAAATAAAAATAAATAAATAATCAAAATATTTGTGTCAAAATGGAATATTTATCAATAAATGCGAGTTTTTTAGCAAACAGAACAACAACACCAGAAATCAAAATAGAGTTTATCAAGTCGACATGTATGGTGTATGCTAAGCTTGAAACGACAAATTTATATTTAAATATAATCGTATTTTTTTTTTCTTTCATTTAGTTTTTTTGTTATTATTATTTTAGCCCACATAGACCAACAACACCGTCTCTCTATCATACCATATGTTTTTGACATTTGATGAAGAAAATGGGGAAATAGAGCTCTTTATTTTTCTGACGAATACATCTTTTTGTAAACCATTCTATAACAATAATACCATAGTCGCGGCTCAAGCTGCGTTGTAGGCATAGGATTAACAATGACCCATTCAAAATCTATCTACAATTTACAAAAGCATAATGTTTCATACTGCCAACGAACTAACAACCTTAGTTGGTCTATTAGTGAATAATTTTTCAATAATATTGTATTCAACACCAATAATATTAACATGTCTAAAATCTTTAACAACTTGGTTTTAGCAAATTTGAATTTAAATAAAAAGTTTATATTATGAACAACTTATGCTAGGTAGGATACAAAATCATTATGTTAAAGGTTTATAAGGTTAAAATCGATGACAATGGTTAAATAAAAGGATAATAAAAAAAATATGTTTAAATGTATATCCAATGATCTTTTAACATATTTTCGAAAAGGACCATATAATTTGAAGTTTCACACTTTGGAGAATGGTTTTGGATTTCAGATTACACATTTCGACTTACATCGTTCAATTTTTCTTTAAAAAAATATTCTTGATTAAAATGGTTGCTTTGGTGTAAACATAGAGTTAGGATTAGGTTATGTGTTGCTTTGGTAAATGTTAACCAACATGGACTGGCTATTGGTTAAAAAGTATTATGTAAGAAAGAATCACCATTTTCATAAGAGAGATAGGGAGGCACTTCAGATCAAGTGGCTCAATATCGTACATGCAGAAATACAGACATTGATGTACTTTAGACAGATATGGATGCACTTTAAAAATATTATGTAAGAAAGATTCACCATCCACAACAACATCCCCAAAAACTCACTAGTACCTTCACCATCATTATCCTCAAAAGCACAAAACCTCCTCAAGCCATCAATGTCCAATTCACCCAAGTGCAGCAGGGTAGTATAATCATAAGACGCAAAAGAGTCAATAACATTCACCATCCATTCATTGTGACTTGACGTCGAGCTAGCATCATTAACATCAAAAGTCCCTGCCACAATCTCTTTCTTTATACCCCTCGCGACTAACATCCCCCCAACAACCCAACATGTATCCTTAATCTGACCAATACCATGCATAAATTTAGGGCATTCAATAACTTTATCAACAATTCTAACAACACATTCTTTGACCAACCAACAAAGATCGCCCTCAACTCTAGCCACCTTCCTCTGTAGATCAAGAAGCATTTTCTCTTTCTCCAATTGCTCCCTCTCAAGACTTTCCACCCGAATACACAAAAAATTGTTTTCCTAAAAAGTCTCATCTAGGTTGACTTTTGCATCCGTTGCACGCTCTTCAACTAACATCTTCTCAGCTACAACTAACTCTATCAGTTGATCAAATGCATTAATCTTCATTTCCAACGAGGCAAGATGACGTTGCATTTCTTTGTCATTAGCACGAAGTTTAATGTTCACTCCTTTGAGGTGACAAATACACCGAGCTTTAGCAGCAAGAAAGAAAGTAGTCTAAGCATAAGCAAATTCAAGATAACCCACCGTTTGGTCATAGGTAAACAATTCCATCCCTAAGATTAACTCGTCAAGGAATACATTTCGGGATAATTCCAATGTTTTCTCCCTTGAAGAAATACGAGAATCATTCACAAAATTCTGTTGGAATAAAGAAATTTTCAAAACTACAAACCCCCTTCTACAACCCAACAATAACGTCATCAAAGGTTGACACACTAAAACTGGTTGGAGATTTCTTCTAGGTTGGCTCAAACGATCGAGGAATACCATCCAAATGTTGCGATTAAAAAACAATGGGTTGTTTTATCTCCCTTGTAACACCCTCAGACTATTTCACGTCATCGTCGAGGATGTTTATAACATCCCCACTTAAGGGAAAAAGTTTAGCAACAAAACTTGATGCAAGTTTTATCCTTCATACACGATCTACAATCGGTGAATTACTCAAATCTGCAGTAGTACCATCAATATTCCATAATGCCCTCCTCCTAAGATGATGACCTCCAACACCAGTCAAAAATACCCCCTTTGTTATCCTTCACACACTCGGAACGGTTGGGTTTATCATGCAGAGACAACCTAGTAAAAAATACCCCCTTTGTTATCCTTCACACACTCGGAACGGTTGGGTTTATCATGCAGAGACAACCTAGTAAAAAATACCCCCTTTGTTATCCTTCACACACTTGGAACGGTTGGGTTTATCATACAGATACAACCTAGTCACAATGGCACTCACAAGCGCAATAACAAGTGGATATGCCCCATCAACTATAACATCATGATTTTCACCTAATTTTTTTTAAAGTAAATTACTGAAATCGTCCATATGGTTTGGTCAAAATTGCACGTTTGGTCCCTAACTTTTATATTGCACTCGGATCGTCCCTATGGTTTGATTTTGTTGCGTTTTTCGTCCCTTACATACATAAAGTTAGGGACCAAATGTGTAATTTTGACCAAACCATAGGGACGAAAAACGCAACAAAGTCAAACCATAGGGACGATACGGGTGCAAAATAAAAGTTAGGGACCAAACGTGCAATTTTAATCAAACCATAGGGGCGATTTTAGTAATTTACTCTTTTTTATTTCTTTTAAATGCTTTTTAAAAGATTATGTTTCCGGAAGACTTGTTATGAATATTTCAAAAACATCACTAATGCTACTTTTATGTCAAAACAAACCCATCAAAATTTAAAGTTCACAACAACAATATGATGAAAACCCAACATGTTCAAATGGTATCATATCTAAAGATACTAAATATCACAACCCAAAAAGTTACCATCATCACCAAGACATCATGTCAAACCACTTGTTCCAATGCACAACAATCAACAAGCAAATAACAAGTGTTAGCATAAGCTAAGTGAGTCAATTACAATACAATGTTAAAAGACCACACATATCATAAATAGATCACACAACACATTCCCACACATTCAAAGACTCACAAGCAATATATAACAACATCACACCACATATCAAACACTTTTTAGCTCAATTAATTTTATTCTTCTTTTAGAGCTTTTTTTAGACACTCTCCTCAACCACGTTGTAGCTAATTTTCAATCCTTTCACCTCTAAAATATCATTAAGTAATTGTAACGCCCGTGTTTCAGGTATAAGAATTGGTAGATGATGTAATAGTCTAGGTCAACTATTATAACTCTTTTTGAAATAACAAAGATGGAATATTTGAGTATTATGTGAATTATGTGAATTTATGTGTTTTAAACTTAATTATAAATTTATAATTAATCAAGAATAAAAATAAGCATCAAAGTTAAAGTGTGAGATAAGCCTGATATCTTTACATAAAGTTGTAGTGGTCGAAACAAGGATTCCAGGGATATAAAGAATGCCGATATCCGAGTTATAACGAAGAAGTTAAGACCCATCGAAGTTTCGCAAAGAACCGACACGACACTGGGAAGACGTAAATAGTGAATTTACAATAGAGGACTTTTTAGCCTTAATGATCTAAAAAAAAGTTGTAGTATACGTTAAAACGAGAACTTATAAAAAAAATTCTAAGATTTGGCATAGCAGTGTACTGCCCGAAACTCGAATTTTAGTTCGAGCGGTTTTTGGCCTACGCGACCTAAATGAGAGTTGCAGATCTCATTAATAGGAACTCAACGATAAAAAGACAGATGAAAACGGAGTCTGTATGTAGAAGTTATGCATTTTACGCGGACATTTAACAGTATAATCTCCTCCTACTTTTAAATTTAAGATCGGTCGAGAATTAGCCAACAAACTCAAAATGAAAGTTGTAGATTTTGTTTTTACCAACGTGTAGATCTAAAGAAAGTCAAAAATGGAGTTCGTATGCGAAAGTTACGGGGTTTAGAAGTCGGCAGGGTGCTGCTGCAAAATCGGTGACGTGACACAATATAGGCCACACACGTTTCGCGACCAGAATGCTGACACCTGGCCACGGACTCGACGAGTTGGAGGTGGACTCGATGAGTCAAGCTGCCAGACAACCTATATAGAGGTGACAGGTTCCCTTCATTCTCCACACCATCCAACTTCACTCTTTCTCTCTCTAGTTTCTCTCTCTAAGCCCCAACCCCCCCCCCCTAAAGTCTAGGTAAACCCCATAGCACCCGAAGGAAGCCCTGAGAAAAGAGCCTTTCGGCTTGGGAACACTGCTCCAACGAATCCCGGTTTTGCAAAAAACCCGTTGTAAGTGAGCTATGCCTACCCTATCATTAGTATATCTTATATTTTAATGTAGTAATGATAATAGGACCTTATAATAAGTATTTGGACTATTATTATGAGTTATATAAGTGTCTTTATAATATCTTTTAACTTCTCACGGTACGGGGAATATGGTTTAAAGGGCCGCATAGGGTTGTTGTATTTCAGAAGTGCTATATGCCAAAATGGTCATGCCCTCCGGTGTTTTATGTCTGACCCCTGTCTGTATATCGTGGTTGAGAAATATTGTTTCGTTCTTATATAATAATAATAATAGCAAGACTATTAATTAGTCTTAGTGAATATTAGACTAAGCTCTAGTGGTAATGATACTAGGTTTTGTCAAAGGAAAATTTTGTTAAGAGTAACGAAGTGCTGTCCGAGTGCCTAGTCACCACCTTTTAAGGCGAGTGCATAGTTACTTTCATATTACACATGGATATGAAGTAATTAATATAAACTATGTGCTATGCGTGCATATCGTCTGAATACTTGTTGTCTATGCTGATGAAAGATTTTTATACATGTTTTAAACGATTTAAACTGTACATGTATTTTATATCTACAAAAATTTTGGGGTAAAACATGGGTAGATGTAATAGACGATGTGTGATAAAATGATGAGAGGCCTCGATGTTGTTGTTTTTGATTCTGTTATCTAGCGGAGTATGGATGACGACCACAGACTCTTCTAGGCAGTCCAGTGGAACGCTAACAGGCTCGCAACCTGTAGGTGTTTGTGAACGATGTGTTCAACGGTGTACTCCATCCCCCTCATGGTTCCCTTAAGGACATTTATTGTTGAGGAATCCCCTTAGCATTAGTGTCCATCCCGATGTTGATCCTTAGTCTAGGTCCCTTATGATAGGTGTTTTAGGGAGGTAATGTGAGGATAACGGGAATGGGTAATCGGGTTATTGTTGGTTGATGAAATTAATAAACTTATTTATTGTGGGTTGAAACCCCTATGTGCTCACCAGGCTCCCAAGTCTAACCCACTAAGTCTCTTGTATTACAGGGAGTGATGCACAAGCATAAATATGATGTTTGGGATGAGAGATTACGGATATAGGCCTGTAAATATGAATAAATGTAGTAAGGTTTATATTGTACTGTTTATGCTTTTGATCTATATCGAACATGACATCCCGATGTTTTTAATGAAATACATTTCTACGGAAATGCTTTGATAAATCTTTATCATATTTTATTATGGGAACAAATTCCACAACATTTTTATTTAAAATGTACTCTTGATTTTTAAACAAAGCATAAACAAAATCGGACTTTTCTGGCCGTGAAAATGGGGATGCCACAGTAATATTATCTCCGCTTTATTTTAATAATTACTCACCACTTATCCTCGCTATAATTATTATTATAGTAATACTTCCTAGTTAAGGTATATTCATTCACCGCAAACCCCAAGGCAAGTATCACATTCGCTACTAACATGATCGGCACGACCCAATGCATTACGTGAGACGTGACTCTCAACCAATGAAAATGGTGCCAATTCCACCACGTTACACCTCCCAATCCCATGTGATGTATGTGTGGGCCCCACTGCTAGACCAACATCACTCCAATCCACCCACCGTTCGGACCATGTCTCAAATGATCTCCTAGAAAAATCATTCGAGGTCGCTTTGGCTTAAGCTATTTTCCTATAGGTTTCATTCAACCCATCGGGTCCCTACAATAATCCAGATATGGTATTTACTTATGTCTAGGTTACTACCCTTCACCCCGCTAGTGTATTCCCCATTTTTAATTAATCAATTAAGGAGTTACACTTTTACCATCCTCAAGTAATCATGCAAATATTATGATTTTTCTTTTATTAACATACTACTTCTCTAATAGTTCATTTTCATGTAAACATATAATTTTTTTTCTTTAACTATTACATTTTACATCACACACCACTTTCATACACAACACTTCAATAATGGTTTTACATTACTAGCATGCTTGTCCTAAACAACATAGGCAAA